TTTTTTTTTTTTTTTTTTTTGGTGGTACTGGGGATTGAACTCCGGTTCTTGTGCTTGCAAGGCAGGCTCCGGAACCACTGAGCTAAATCCCCCCCGGTCCTTTTTTTAATGTGAGACAGGATCTTGCTAAATCATTAAATTGCCCAGGCTGGGCTTCAGCTTGCAGTCCTCCTGCCTCAGCCTCCCAGAGTGCTGGGATTACAGGAGTGCACCACCTCATGGAGCTCGTCTGCTTTCCTAATCATTTGTCTCCCTCTACTTCAAAGCAAGTTTCGTGAGGGCAGGATTTGTTTGGTTCACCTAATTTCCCAGCACCAGAAGAGTATCTGGCCTGTGGCTAGGTAGTCAAACATGTGCTGTGAAGCACTGAATCAGTGCACAGGGAACGGCTATGGACCCACCCCGTCAGGGAAGAGTCACAGGCCAAGGGACTGTGCCACATCCAGAGGGAGGCGAGTCTCGGCCACTTTCCCTCCTCCCTCACTCCCGAGTGTGGCCAACCAACCCTCTCACCGTCGGGCATTTTCTCCTTCCACCTCAGCCAGGCCGGTGGCAGGGCTCCTCAGACTGCTCCAGACGCTTGCGGCATCCCCGGCCTCCAGGGCGCGGTTAATCAAGACCACGGCCGAGAGCATCTCCACGGCCACGAAGAGCTCCTCCTGGCCCAGCTCCTGCAGCAGGAGGGTCGGCCTGCGTCATCTGCTAGCAGTTGGGCTCAGCGCGGGGGCACCGGACACCTGCTCGAGTCTGAGAGCCTCCCGCAGCATCATTGAAGGCTCAGCAGTCTGACGAGGCAGGTGGCCCTCAGCCTGGTGCACAACCTGGCCCACGGCTAACGATGCTGACCGAGGTGCCTGGCTCCAGAGCCCCCGTAGGCATGAGCTCTGCCAGCAGCCACCTGTCCCTGCTCCACACCAAGAACCTCATTCGGCCCTGGTCCTACTTCCAGCCTGCCCAGTCCTCTTCCTCCTGCTCAAATCTGCTTCCGCTGTCCCTCCGCTGGAGACGCCCTGCCTGCCCTCTGCACTGGAACCCTGTGGTGACAGCTGACCCTGCTCACCAGGCTCTTCTCTAAGCACAGGTGAGCTCACTGAGTCCTCACAGCAATCCAGAGAGGGGAGGGGAGATGACGGCTCCCAACCTAGGTACGAAGGTAAATAACTCGCCCAATGCCACGCAGCTAGGAACTAGCAGAGTTTGTAGTCACTGTGCTTTACCTCTCAATACTGATTTTCTGCTTCTTTGCATGAAAGCAATCCACATGCTGTGACTGCCTTCCTAAAGGCCGTGCTTGTGTGGGGGCTGCGCCTGACGTAGATTTCTATAAATTCCTTCCGCAAATGGGGTTCTCTACAGAGTCTCATCTTCTGAGAAGCCTTTCCTCAGTACCTCCTGCCTCTGCTCCCTCAAGTCTTCTGCCTGAATCATCTTATTAGATGCCAAGTGCCCGGGCTGGGATTGAACTCACAGTGCTTCTGCCTCAGCCTTCCAGAGGGCTGGGATTACAGGTTCGTGCCCAGTTAGGTGAAACCCAACTTCTCCAACAGCCTGGAGGGCCCAAAGCAGAGGCGCTGTCACCTCTCTGGCGGAGAGGCGGGCTGACTGAAGTGAGGGGGCACAGAAGAGTGGCCAGAGGCCTGGCCTGCTAGGACACTCAGCCTTGTGTCCACTTCCAGCCAGCACTACCGGTCATGTGGAGCTGGTCAGTTACCCTCTGCCCTTCAGCTTCCTTGCCACTGGACTGGAAATAACACCTGCCTGACGGGGTGCCCTTCAGGACAAAGGCTTGGAAAGCAGTTTTCAAGAACATCGGCTGCTGTGATGCTCCGTACGACCAGGATGGCCGCCACTCCTGTCCGCAACCTCTCGGACAGCCCCGGCTGCACAGGAAGCCCCGCGCGGGGCCTGTGTCTGCGCTTACCCCCTGCTGCTGTTGGAGCACTGCCAGCTCCTGCTGGTACACAGCCGAAGCACAGGGGTGGACGGGAGGCAGCTGGGCTGCAGGGCTCATCAGCTCCCTCACGGTATCGGCAGCTGCTCCCCGCCGGATGGCTCTGTTGATCTGCTGCACAGCCTGCAGCACTGCAGGGAGGAGAAGAGAGGCGTGTGGGCCAGGCCTCCCAGCTCCCCTGCTCTCCTGGCCAGCTCGGCTCTACAGGACCTCCGAGGGGAAATGGTTCCATCGCTGCTCAGAGGGCTGTCTTCTGGTTTTGAAACACCTCTCTCCACGCTCAGGAGAAAAGGGCTCTGGCCACTTTAAGGAGAGGCTCCCGGGAAGCCCCCTGTCAGGCCTAGAAGTTGAACAGCCTAGCACGGGACCCACAGTGACTATCAGGGCAGAGGCGAGCGCAAGACGGACAGCTGGCTGTGGAGCACGACCGAGACAAGACCAGCCAGGGGGCTGCAGAGAGAACCTTGGTGACAGCAAAGGCGAAGGAAGCACCAGCACCAGGGTGAAGCCGTTTTGGCTGCAAAGTGGTGGAAGTTAGAAAGGGTCTGCAGTTAGCTGTAATCTGAGATTACAAAATCTGGAGCTTAGAAAATGCCCAGGCAGAGCTAGATTTTGCTACCCTCATCCCATGTAAATCCCTATGAATTGACAATTAGTTCTACAGGCTCAATTAAATTTTAGCTCAAGAAAAATAAAATTTAAATAAATAATAATGTACACCCAGGCATCAAGGAGCACACAAGCTCGGGGGCAGAAATAAGGACACAAAACTCCTACAGAGCCTTGCTGTCACAGCCAGACCAGAGCCCCAACCACCATACAACAGCAGAGCAGGGGCACAGGTCTGGCCAGGAGTGAGCTGGAAGTGTTCCCAGAGGAAGCCCAGGCAGCCCTGTGACGTTTTCACCCGCTCCTGACAGGGAAAGTGCAAGAGAACCCTAACCAGAGGGACCAGAGGGCTGGTGATGGAGAGGCTGGGGCAATCAAGAAAGAACAGTTCATCCTGCTCAGCAAGGCTGGGGTGACATGGACAGGAGAAGGGGCGGCTCTGGGAAGGCCTGCCTGTCCTTTCGGGCTCAGGTGACAGGACCAAAGTTCGTCACCGCTGTGACTCTTTCCTTGACTTTGGCTGCAAACGGAATTGTCTGTCTGAGAACCAAGTCCAATTCAATGGGTAGGTTCAATGTTACAGAGAAATCTGATTCAGTTCCCTTCCAGTTTGGTTGTGATCAATAATGTTTAAAGAACTAAGTTCAAGAACCAAGGCAGCAGTGTCTGGTAAGAAGGGAGGAGCCCGTGAAGACCTGGAGGTGTTCCTAGGGGAGATGCGATCAGAGCTGTCCCACCCGAGCTGCTAAGGCGAGAGGCTGACAGGAGTGGCCTGGGCCACAGTGCGCTGGTGTCCAGGAACCGAGACCGAGGCCATGAGGCCCAGTGTCACAGGCCCCTGGAGACAGACTGACCTCTCACGGCAGAGGAAGCCAGCTCGTGTTCTTGAGTGAAGACTTATTTCTGTACGTTTTTAAGGGAAGCTGAGAACATAAATTTCTCTCATCTGAGAAATCAATACATTTCAGAAGCCAAGAAATTCAAACAGCTTGAAAGTGTCAGAATGGCAAACTTCCTGGGAGAAAACTGCCCGCCCAGTGCGGTACGAACACAGCACTGTCTCTGAGGCCTTTGTGAACCCATCCCCAGGAATAGAGCAGAGCAAGAGGGCAGAAATCCCTCATGGGGCTGCTGAGCAGGGCAGCACTTTCCTTGCCCAGTATAGAAGCTAGTGAAGGTGGGGCGCTCCATGAGCCGGCAGGGCACCCAGACCAACCTCAGCCTGGCAAAGACTTACTGGCTTGCTGCTGGTCACCCTTCACGTTGGCTGCGGCCACGGCGGCCTGGACCTCGTCCTTTTCCAGAAGCTCCACCAGGCCCAGCTCCTACAGAGGGGAGAGAGGCCAGGGACACGAGCTCCCAGTCTGCCCAGCAGCCATCCTCCATCAACCTCCCCCGCAGGCAGAAGAGCCTGGCCCACCGCCCTGAGCCCATCTCATCCTTTCTTACCGAACAAGCGTCTGAATAACAAACAACTAAAACAGAGACAAACTGACAAAGTTGGCAGCATCAAAACAAGATTACTAAATTGAGGCCCAATCCAGCACAGGGGAGCATACGACTGCCCCCCAGGTCAGTCTGAGGGCCTCCTGGAGGGCAAAGATGACTGGCACGGTAGCTTAGGCTTTCAACACGCAGTCAGCACCTCCTGACGGCAGGGACTGGCAGTGGCGCTGCCCAACTCAGAGGCCTCTCCCACCCCCCGTCAGAGGCGGCAGGAAGCGGACTGACCTGTGCTTTCTGCTCTCGGTCCGAGCTCAGCTGTTCCAGGTACCAGTCAGCAAAGTCTCTCCTCACCCCGCGTAGGGCCAGGGAGGGATCCTGCAGGGCCTCCAGCAAGCCCATGGGGCTCTGTCGTTCCAGGGCATTGTCAACAATCTCTAGAGCCCCACGGACTGAAAAGGGCCAAGACGTCATGAAGGACCATGTGAGGAAGCCCTCTTCCTGCCCAGCCCCTCGGGTTTCTGGGCCACCTGGTCCAGCCCAAGCTCCTCAGCCTCCTCTCCACAGCCTCCCCTCTCAGCACCTCAGACTCTGAGGATTTTCTGACCATCACAGGAAAACGCCCATCGTCTTGAGCCTTCTAGCTGCCCTCTCCCCAATCTGTGCTCTGCATTCTCTTCTCAAGGGCCCCAGGGCAACTGTCCCCCAGCGCAGGGGCCAGAGGGCCAGTCCCTTTGCCTCTGGTCTCTCCACAGAAGTCCATTCAAACTGAAGCCTCCCACAGTGGACCGCTTCTCCAGACACTGACACCAGAGAGCAGAGGGCACTCTCCCTGGACTTTCGTCTTTCTTCCTGAGGCAAGAACTGGCTCTAGTGAGGCGACGGCTCTCTGAAGGGAGCCACCCCCAAACCTCCAAGTGCTGACCCCGAGAGCACCAGCATGTCCCTTACCGTTGACATGGTTAATGTTGCCCTGGATTTCCGCCTGGGTTAGGTAGTAGTCGTAGATGTCCTGGCTTTCTCTGTCGTCCTGCAAAAACTAAAGGATAAGGAAACCAGTGTAGGCTCCTCCACGCCTCCCTCCCCGTCTGCACCGATTTCTTCTTCTGGGGAGATTCCCAAGGCCAACGCCAGTCACTCTGGGGAACGGACGGTTAAGTTAATCCAGCCTGGGAATCTGCAGTCCCTCTCAGGCCTCCCTGAAGGTCACCCCCAAAATTTCTTCTCCAGGCTTCTCTTCTGAATTCACACCATTCTCCTGGGTTCCCTCCTTTCTCCAAGACCCCTGACAAGTTAACAGTTTCTCTAACAAGCAGCTCTGGAACTAGAGACAGGGCCGAAAGAGTCCTGGTTTCACTGGAGACTCTTCGGGCACTCAGCTTTTTGCCTTCAGCACCCCAGGACCCCTCCTCACGTGGTTCCTGGCACTGGCAGCCTTCTCCATCTTGGCCTGGGCCAGCAGCTCCTGGTAGATGGCAGCCAGGGGCTCCTGAAGGTTCCCCAGGAGAGCGCTGGGATTCTGCAGGGCAGCGAAGGTGTCCTCGATCACCCCTCGCTCCACCGCCTCATTGATGGCAAGAACAGCTGCATGGACTGGGAGGGAAGGGGCACGGAAACACGGTCAGGGAGCCAGAGAGAAGGCCAGGCCAGAGCAAGCCAGCTGCAGACTGCTCCAGCATCACGCCCTTCACCTTCCTCGGGGGCAGGCAAACCAGGTAGTCCGATCACCCTGCCTGAGGGTGAGGAGGCCAGAGCCAGCCAAGCAGCAGGAGGCTTGAAGTTCCCCATGCCCACTTGCCTACTCCTAGCAGGGCAGTGGCTGGTCCCTACCTGCGGCCTCATCCACAGAGAGCTCATTGGCCAGGATGCCCCCGATCTTGCTAAAGGCAGGCAGCTGGAGGCCGTATTTGGCGAGCTCAGAGGCCATGTTGCTGAGTTCCTCGTCTGCAACGACACCACCGGTACCTTCATCAGGCCCAGACCCCGAGACCCTGCCCAGCCCGAGGTGGTCAGGGAAGGAGCTGGGCTTACCTGTGAACTGCACTTTCCCGTAGAGATCATGTATCTGAGGGGCCAACCCCAGCCGGAAAAGGAAGAGACTGGAAAGGAAGGAGAATGGGAGGTGCTGGAAGGCACGGCGCCCAGACAACAGCACGGGACATGCACCAGGGCGACAGGCCGGCCCGGGGTCACCCGATCCACAGGAAACGATGTCAGCCTGCACCGGGCGAGTTCTAGGGGGACGGCTAAGAGGCCTGGGAGGCCTGGTGAGCCCGGGAGGGCCTCAGAGCACACGTGGCGGGAGCAAGTCACAGGGTGGTGACAGAGGACAGCAAAGGCGCTGCAAGCATGGACCTGCCGAGCCAAGGAGGGGAGGCATAAAAAGATGTAGGACGTGCAGGCAGGAAGAGATGAACAGCCGCAAGATCCGGGTGCCAATTCCTGTGACAGCCGGGTAAGTGCTCATGGTTGCCTTGAGCAGAACAAACAGCCTCTGCCATTCACACTGCATGGCTGGCACAGGGTGCTCTTTTTGGTGGTGCCAAGGGTCGAACCCAGACCTTGCACACGTGGACCAGCACTCAACCACCGAGCTACATCCCCAGCCTGCATCCTGTTCTGACCCCTTGACCGGGTCCCAGGCCGACACCCGGTACGTCCTATCCTTTCCCCTCACCCACATAAATCCACCTGCAAACACGAAACCTCCCTCCTGACAGGATCGCTGCACCACCCCCGTCCCCCTTGCGCTGCTGCTGCCACTCAGGGGTCACTGCCACGCGGAGGAACCTTCACCTGAGGGCGTGGATGCAGTAGACCACACGGGGCATGTTCTTCTTGTCGTAGATGTCCGTGGTCTCCGGGAAGAAGGTCTGGGGGAAACAGGCCTGTTGCTGAGCCTGGAGACGCCAAGCACAGGGTCTGCCTCTCCCACCTGAGGTGTGCGTCCCCCGGCTGCCTGCGGCCTTCGCCAGTCTCCTCAACCACTTCCAGTCAGCCCAGTGTTGAGAAGGCACTGCGGACACGTGCTGAGCTGGTACCCAGCCAGGCACATGGTCGCATGGTGCCCAGGTGGCATGGGACCCGGACGAGGCCATTAGGCTGCAGGACACAAGCCACATCCTCCAGGAACAACAGGCCCCAGTCACTTGGAGCTATGGTGAGGGTCCAGTGAGGCACATATAGCCACAGACCAAACACAGCAGGGCAAGCCACCGCCCCAAGCTGGAGCCTTCTGATCGATGGGGGCCCTGCTCAGAACTGGGCTGCTCCAGGTACATCTTCCCGTGCCACCTAGCAATTATGATGAGGCCTACTGCATCCTGGACATGATAAAGGACCCACAGTGTGCTGGCCTCACTGAGTACACGCGCTCTTATGTGTCTGCCTCCAAAGCATCTTTCTGTACTGCTGCTTCCTCATCCTAAGAGTTCCTTTTCACAGAGAAGGCTAACAGAACAGAATGAAATCATACACAGTAGGATCCTATCATGCCTAATTTGTATAGCTCTTGTCAGGTGTGGTGGTCTCAGCCATAATCCCAGCATTTGGAAGGCTGAGGCAGGAAGATCACCACAAGTTCCAAGGCCAGCTTGAACTACATAGCGAGATGCTGTCTCAAAAAAAAAAAAAGTATAGTTCTTTACAAATGGAATTTGACAGCCCGGGATTTAGCTCAGTGGTTCTGGCTGCCTCACAAGCACAAGAACCCAAATTCAATCCCCTGTACCAAAAAAAAAGAGTATGTGGTCTATTTTAGAGCCAGGATTTAGCTCAGTGGTTCTGTCACCTGCCTCGCAAGTGCAAGGACCTGAGTTCAATCCCTGGTACCAAAAAAAACAAAAAAGAAAAAGAAAGAGAAATTTGTACAGAGCATCTGACCCTTCGGTCAACATAGACAAGGCAAGATCACTGTTCGCCCTTTACAGCTGAGGAACACAGGAGCTCACAACAGATGCCTCCTGTGTCGGCGGGGGTCTTGGGCCTCAGCCTCCCACCTTAGTCTGTCACCTACGGGCTGGGGTGTGGTAAGCCCCGGCCCCCCATCAAACGGGGGGATGGCTGACTGATCTGAGCCCAGTCTCCTGCACTAACCGGGTCCCTGCTGCACAACGGCAAGGGGGCAACTCAGGCCACAGGCCTTCTTCATCTGCCTTCATCCACAGGGAAGCGAGGCAGGGACCAAGTAACCTAGTTCAAAGAAACACAGCCCAAGGAACTGTTCTGTTAGATTACATTAGTTTAGAAGATACATGTCGCCGGGCGTGGTGGTGCACGCCTAAAATCCCATAACCTAGTTCAAAGAAACACAGCCCAAGGAACTGTTCTGTTAGATTACATTAGTTTAGAAGATACATGTCGCCGGGCGTGGTGGTGCACGCCTGTAATCCCAGCACTCGGGAGGCTGAGGCAGGAGGATCACTGTGAGTTCGAGACCAGCCTGGGCTACATAGTGAGACCCTGTCTCAAACAAAAAGGATACATGGAGATGGGCAGGAATGGTCCAGGGAGACAAAGCATGAGGCACTGGGGGACGCATGCAGGGTAGAGATGAGCAACAGTTTGAGGCCCAGTGTTACCGAAGGCAGGCCGATGTGGGCTACTGCAGACAGCCAGAAGTTGATGTTGTCTGTGTGCCGGAAATGCAAGCCAGTTGCCTGAAAGGGAAGGAAAAGGAGAGTCTGTTTCTATAGTTCCCAGGGCTTCCCACGAGCAGAGCGCAGACTACACCTAGAGATCCAAGAGGAAAGGGTGGGGAGCAGAGGACAGAGAAACAGAAATCCCCGGGGATGGACACCTCAGCTGGTAAGCGTTCCTGGGAAGGGGCGGAGGGAAAGAGGGCGCTGGGCTGGCTACAGCACAGAGCAGCGCATGGGCGGAAGGGTAGCTTCTTAGAGCCATCTTTGTTTGGGGGATGCCGGGGATTGAACCCAGGGCCTTAAACCCACCTAACAACTACCCCTTGCCGCTAAAGGTAACACACGACCACCTGACTGGGAGACACCGGCTGTTTAAGTTTTTAATACACATGAACTGTACCAGCTAACGGAGCTCTACTGTGACATTTCCGTGCTTACCCTCCCTCCCACCCTCTCGCCCTCCCTCTCCCTGCTGCCCCTGGACCCCTTCTCATTCCCTAATAATCAGGAGAGACACTGATCCCCACCTGTTGTCCCGGTGCAACGATTGATTAGAAGCTCCCGCTTTCCTCCTTTAAACCGTCCAGATCTGGGTACGGTCACCCATGCTCACAGTTGCAAAGAGAAGGGGTAGTTTGAGAGGAAGAAGGTGGAGTGTACGATGCCTACCTGGTACCGCAGTTGCTCCACATCATAGATCTTCTTTAAGGGGACCACAGAGGGTGCAAAACAGTGGCCCAGCTTGGCCAGCAGCACCCCATTCCGAAGGCTCTCCTCCAACTCCACCGGGGAAGGAAGCTCCTCCTTCAGGCAGGCCTCCATCCAGCTGCAGGCACGACAGGACCTCTCACTCACGCTGGCAGCCTCGCTGGTTTATTCCGACTTCCTCTCCTGGAGTGGCCCCTGCACCTCTCCTACCTCCTGTTCCTGCCTCCCCCTCCCCGCTGCCCCTGCACGTCTCTTCCCACTTCCTCCCTGCTGGCCCCCAGACACCTGGACCGACCCCCTCTGAAGCCCCTGCTCCAAGTCTGCCCTGCGGAGCCCGCACCTGCCCATCTCCAGTGAGGCTCACGGACTCTTGGTACAGAAGGCTCACTTTTCCCACCTCCTCCCCTCCCTTCCCAAGCTGCCACTGCACCATCTGCAAAATGCGGGCGACACCACCAGGATGTCCTACAGCTGTGGGCGGCTGCCAGGGTCAAATGAACCAGTGAACATGAAAACACTTTGACTATAAGTTTATGAAACACGTTATTGCTGGGAGATTTACAAGGGAGAAAAAAAAGGCTCCTCACGGAATCTCCTAATTTCCCTACGTATTAGATCTACAAGAAAGTGTGTTTCCATTTCCTATCTGCTCCATCCTACCTACTTTCTGGGAGAACATTAAAAATAGTCTGTTGGGTAAAAGGAAAGAATTGAGTATTTACCCTGCCCCTCTCAGAAAAACTGAATGACAGGGTGACCGAGAAGCCCTGAGCTGATTGGGGAAAGATCTTTTTTATTTATTTACTTATTTTTTGGTACCGGGGATCGAACTCGGGTCCTGGTGCTTGCAAGGCAAGCACCACTGAGCTAAATTCCCAGCAGAAAAGATCTTTTTTAGAAAAGAATTTTAGGTAACTAATGAAGAAGCAACAACAGAATTAGAAAATAGTCATTTTGAATCCTGATAGAACAGATTCTGGTGAGGACCAATAATCCTGGAAGCCATTGGATGAAAGGTTAATGGGGACTCTTACAACACAGACACCAGGTTATCACCTGAATTCCCAGATAAGACTTAATTTCACCTCCTATAACACACACCTCCACCGATGAAGGCTTCTTGTCAAACAAGTTGAACCTGAATCCAATCAAGCCTTTAGAGCCAGAATCCATTTATAGGAAATACATGGCTTAGAGGAACAAGGTGAATGACACAAGGAAGCAAATACAGTCACGATGTAGGATGTTCTACAAGAAAAGTGATCCAGTTTCTTAAACAAGCCGATGACACACAAAAAATGAGAAACAGGAGGTGAGCTGCTCTCCATTAAAGAAGCGTAAGAGACAAGTGAAATAAGTGAGCTTTTTGAGATCCTTATTTGAATGAGCCATTCGAAAAATCAGACTTCCTTTTTAGACAAGCTGGACAATTTGAAAATGGCCCGGGTATTGATCTTTAGGGATTTGCAGATACTTGAGCTGAGTATTAAAATGACACTGTGGTTATATAAGCAAATGCCCGTAGATTTTAGGCAGTTTCTGAGGGATACAGGGAAATAAAAGGATGTAATGCTTTGGATTTGCCTTAAAAAGCAGAAAATGCTATTTTAACCTGCCCTTTCCCTCAGCATGGGTCCTTGTCCTGTTGCACAGGTTTTGAGGACGGGTGTCTGGGCTGCAGCATGGGGAAGGTGGGCCAGAGAGAATCCACCTTTCTGACTCTCTCACCGCTTGGCTTCTTCCAGCCGGCACAGGTACTGATAAGCGACATTCTGCCGCCTCTGCTCGTCCATCTCCTCAGCTGTGATGCGTTCATCTGAGGGCAGAAACCAACAAAGGGGGCTTAGACAGGGGCCTGTCTCCGAGGTTCTCCTTGAAGACCTTGCTAGAGCTGGGAGCACTGGTGCACCCCTGTAACCCTGGTACTCTGTTGCCTGAGCAAGGGAAGATCGCATGTTTAAATCCAGCTAGAACTACACAGTGAGACCTCCTCTCAAAAAAATGATGGTACGCAGACCTGCCCAGAGACCGGGAGCATCTCCCGTGTGCCCCAACTCCTTTATCGGGGGGCCTCCTCTCCTTTGCTCTACAGCTAACTTCCTGTCCTCCTCCTTCCTGAGTCTACGCCAGGCCTTCTCACAGTGCTGTCCAGCAGAGGTGTCCAGGGACTTCTTCAGCCGGGAACTTAGCTCCTTATCCTATCCCTGGTTAGACTAGGTTCTCCAAGAACTGCACCTGTGTCATCCTCATTAGGTACATGGTGGGGCTCACAGACTCAACTAGGACTCCGTTCAACAACCCCTCTTTCCTGGGGCCAGGGATGTAGCTCAGTGGCGCTGTGCCTGTCTTGCAAGTGCAAGGTCCTGAGATGGATCCCCGGTACCAAAACTACCCCCACATAAATACCTCCCTTTCCTTAGGCCAGGGCTGGTGGACCTCTACCCTCAACAAACAGAGATTATGGGCCAGGGATTTGGCTCAGTGGTTCTGCTGCCTGCCTTGCAAGGGCAAGGGCCCAAGTTCAATTCCCGGTACAAAACAAAAACAAAAACAAAAATAAAACAGAGATTAGGATCAGAAGAGAAAACTTTGTAAATAAACAACTCCAGCATACGGGAATAAGTGTAATCATAACCATGAGTAGTGCAATGTATGGATGCAGAGGAAGTGAAGGATTCTACCTATGAGCTGGGTCCTTTGCTTTTTTCTTTTTTGGGTGGTACTAGGGATTGAAACTAGGGCCATCGCACTAAGCTACATCCCCAGCCCTTTCTTAAATAGTTTCTTTTATTTTGAGACATAGTCTTGCTAAATTGCTAAGTTGCCCAGGCTGTGCTTGAACTTGCAATCATCCTGCCTCAGCCTCCCAGAGTGCTGGGATTATGGGCATGCACTACCACACCCAGCTGAGTTAGGTGAGAACAGGTGAATGAACTGGTAAACTGGGTCAGGTGGCAAACACCTACAATCTCAGCTACTTAGGAGGCTCAGGAAGATAGATAATGAGTGTGAGGCTAGTCTGGGCAATTTAGAGAGATCCTGTCTCAAAATTTAAAAAAAAAAATTTTTTTTAAAGGGATGAGGAAATAGCTCAGGGGTAAAGCCCCTGTGTAGCATGTATGAGGCTCTGGGTTCAATCCCGAGTACCACACACACACATATACACACAAAACAGATAGAGGACTGGGGATGTAGCTCAGTGGCACTGCACCTGCCTTGCAAGTGCAAGTTCCCGAGTTCAATCCCCAGTACTAAAAAACAAAGCAAAGAACAGATAGAAAAGGGGGGAAAGGAGGCCCAAAAGAACAGCACTCAAGATTAAGTGGAAGGACAAAGAGAATTCTTTTAAAAATCACAAGTATCTTTATTATTCTTTCTTGGTGTAGGTCACCTGAGGAGGAAAATAATAATCTTCAGGGCTAAATAAATGCAGACAACTCTGACCTCCAAACTCAGGAAGAGGGAATCCTTTAAACCAGACAGCACTCCCACTCTTCCCTATGGCTCCTTTATGCTTCTCTTTCTCCCTCTCCTCACCTCTCCTTAGGGAAGACAATATCAAATATCACGGTGTGTGAGAATGCTGTGTGCGCGCGCGCATGTGTACACACACACACACACACACACACACACACACACGCAACACACGCACTCACGCATGCACGCGCAACAAGAAAACAACGTAGGTGGCTCGCAGAGACCAAGCTTGCTCAATTTGTCCTTGGCTCAGCACTCAAGAGTGCGGCTTTTTTGTGTGTGTCCCAGACTGCATACCCTGCAGTAAGATTTGGAGAGGGCAGGGCCTACTTGAATTGGCAGTTAATAAAGTACACACACACACACATTTTCAAGTACAGATTTGAAAGCACCGGCCAACAGCAGGAAGTGCACAGCTCCTCTGAGGAGGCGTGCAGGGAACAAGCGTTGGTTGTTGAGCATGGAAAATAAACCAGTGAGTGACCTCACCTCAGAGCTATGGACTGAGGCTGAGATGGGTGGGACTTTACTACTTACTCACACACACACACACACACACACACACACACACACACACACACACACAGAGAATGCCTCATTAAAAAAACAAACCGTGAAATATTCTCCTGCCCTTCTTAGGCTGGAACTAGCTCTCCTTCAAGAAGTGGGTGGACACGGACTTTGCTCTCTGAATCCTAATTTAGAAGAAGGAGGGGGAAAGAGGAGCAGCAGGTTTCGCATTTGACTCAGGATGGAAATCTTTCAGCCTCCCTATTCTTCGGCCTCCAGTCCCTCTCTCTCTCTCCAAGCACAGCATTGCTAGTAATAAATGCAGACAACTGGAACCCAGGCCTACTGGAGCTGAAGCTGCTGGGTAGAGCCCTGAGGACTCTGCATTTGAAGGTCTCAGACAATTTTGGCACCCTGCGGTTTGAGAGGAATAGTCTCAAAGCTACCTCTTGGAGCCGGGACGCCTGCCTCGCAAGCACAAGGTCCAGAATTCGATCCCAGGTAGCAAAAAAATAATAATAAAAGAATAAAAGAAAGCTGCCTCGCTTCTGTTTTACCATTTTTGTGTGTGGTGGTACTGGGGATTGAACCCAGGGACAACACACTGAGATCTATCCCCGCCCCCCGGACCTTTTGTTTTTTGAGACAGGGTCGCTATAGTTTAGGCTGGCCTTGAATTCACTATGCAGCCCAAACTGTCTTCGAACTCGTGGCAATCCTCCTGCCTCTGCCTCCCAAGTGTTTGGATTACAGGCGTGTGCCACCAGAGCTGGCTTTTTATTTTGAGACAGGGTCTAGCTGACCTCTTATTTGCACAGGCTGGCCTTGAACTTCCCATCCTCGTGCCTCAGCCTCCAGAGTGCTGGGATTACAGGCGTGCGCCCCCAAGCCAGGCTTCCAAGCGGCACCCCAAAGGCAGGCGTCCCCCAGGTCCCTTTCGGAGACCGGTCCGGAACTGCGCTTGGTAAGCACGGTAGCGTCGGTAGCTCCGGGTTTAAAGGGCCTTCTAGACTACCTCGCACAACCTCCCGACCCTGGAGCCCAGATCGGGGAGGCAGCCGATGGAAAGGTGCGAAGCGGCCCGCCGTCCCGCCCGGCGACACCGGCCTCGG